TTGAACCACCAGCCTTCTGGTTAGCAGTCAAATACTTTAGCCACTATGCTACCAGATAGATCTTGCTATTTTTGACCCTAGTAGCTGAGGAAAGGAAGAACATTTTGCTCATGTCCTGATAACAAAACTGAAGTTTATCATCTAGTCCATTGTTAGAGAGCTGGCTGGAGATCAGAGCCTCGTACATTTTCTCACTTTCAGGCCAATGCTTTAAACCTTAACCTAAGCCTGCCAGTTCTCCTGGATCTGTGTAAAACAAAAACTGAAAAGCAAAATGAGGAGGTATTGTTGGGTGTTATTAAGGCAGGCTGACTCAAGAAGCCAGAGTGAAAAAGCAGCAGTCCCAGAAATATAACAAGGAAATGAGTGGATGCAAATGAACAGGTAAAACCTGAAACAAAAAAAGGTTTGAAGAAAGAAGGGAGGTGGCAGAGTGCTGCAAGGGAGCCAGTGATGCTGCCCACTGGACTTATGCTGAGAGGCTTGTGTACTTACTTGAGGGAAAGGGTCGGCTGATGCTAGCAACACATTTTCTGGTTTGAGGTCACAGTGGACAACATTTTTAAAGTGAAGATGCCGCAAAGCCACAAGTATCTGTAAAGAAGAAATTCATTCAAGTAATTTTATTTCAGACTAGTAGTTTATTTCCACAGGTTTTCTACCAGAACATAAATAAAAAAGATAAAGAAGAAAACTCCTAACAAACAGCCAAGATTCTTTATGGTGAAGACATTGAAATGAGCTAGATTAACATAGAGATTTCTAAGACAAATGTAACAGAAAAATATAATGGTATTCATACAACTTCCAAGACAGGTGCAGCTAAAGGGATTCAATATAGCTAACAGGATCTTGTTCTTGAATGTTTTTAAAGAACTAGGAGTTTACCACCATACATGTTAGACTTTCATAAAGAGCTTTAATACATGTGCCTGCAGATATGTTACTAATTTGTTATATTGGGCTCTGAATGACATAAATATAAATCCGATAATACAATAAACCACTGCGACCTTTTGCAGTGTAGTTCAGACTTTGGGAGCAGGGACTAAACAAGGCTAGGAAACTGTAGCTAAACAGTGATACTATTTGATATTAAATATTACCTTTTTTCATTCTCTAACAGATTTCTTACCTGAGTAATTAAAAACTTCGTTATGTGCTCTGGCAACCTGCCCTTTTCACTTGACAAGATCATCTCCAGCATGTCTCCATGGAGTTTTTCCATAACAACAAACACTCTTTCAGGCGTTTCAAACATGCACTCCAAATTTACAACACCGGGGTGATGAAGGTTCTATTAAAGATAAATAAAGCACTTGAAGAAAATGAGTTTTTTGATACTCTTTGGCAAGCTCACTGATTATACGAAACTGTTTAAGTTTAAAGCTATGGAAAACCCACACTTAAGATTCTTAACACCTCTAAATTCCACATGTGCTGCCTTATATTTTTGAAATTCTAATGTCTCCAAAACATACATTTTTACTTTCTATGCATAGTGAAATTTATTTTCCATGCTAAAAAACCAAGTTTCAGCACAGTGAATTGTTAATTAGGTTTTAATTAGAATACCATAACGGGAAATCTGCAATTTCTTAGGATCTTATCCGATATTAAGCATACTGTCTTAAATAAGCATACTCTGGTAGCATAGTGCCTAAGGCACTTGACTGCTAACCAGAAGGTTGGCGGTTCAAACCCACCAGCCACTCCTTGGAAGGAAGGTTGGGCAATCCTACTTCTGTAGTGATACTGCCTCGGAAACCCAAGGAGGGGTTGTTATGAGTCGGGGCCGACTCAATGGCACATAACAACAACAACAACAGGCCATATCTATGCAATTGGTAAAAATTTAATGTAGAAAATATAAAAATCATATCAGTAAATGTGACTGAACTGATGAAACATATTAGTCAAAACCTATGCTTAGAATAGCTCTGCTACTGGAGGCTGAAGAAGTTTGTCACTGAAGCTTTTATACTGAGGGAGGATCACCATAAACTATACAAAATGATTACTGAGCACCAGCTTTTCCCCGGACATCATACTAGGTAGGGCTGTCAAACCTGCATAGTTATCAGATATTTGGTAAGTATCTCCCTTAAAAGATAAGAACTATTGATGGTAGGCTGCATTTTGTTTGATATGTTACTTGCATATGTCAAGTGAAATTACTCTTAGTATTAAATGGTCCCTTGGAATAATGTTTAAATCTAAGTGTTACTCTATCATCAAGAAAAACTTTTGATCATTTGATCTTTTTTTTTATTTTGTCACAAAAAAGTTTTTTCTATCATTATAGAACTGATTTTATATTCCACTTTCAATGATAAACAGAAAGAAAAATCACGAACAAATACCACTGAAAGAAAACAAAATAGAAACTATCTCTAATGCTCCAACACCTCAATATAGAGAAAAATTAAAATGGTGTATTTTAGAAAAAAAAAATCCCAGTGAGTGATAAAATTGCATATAAAATGAATTTTTCACAAATGACTTAAAACCTGAAATGGCTCGCTGCTCAGAAACCTCACAGATGGAGGCTGGGTGGCAAGCAGCAGAAGGGGTGGTGGGTGGATCTACGTGTTGAGGTTGTTCTCTGTGCCACCAATTTCCAAGGAAAGCCTGGCATTGACTGGATACCAAGTCAGGCTAGAGTGGGTAGTAGATCATATGATGCTAGCCTGTCGCTCAGGGTGTCTGCTCATTACTTTGGCAATTTTGATTTGTGTCTCTGAAATCATATGGCTCTTATTGATTTTGATGCCTTGGTGACAGATCATGCAATATAATATAGTCCTGGAAAGGCAAGTTCATGAACATGATCTGAGAAGACACTCAATAGCCTTTTAACTCTGGTGGGCTGCAGTCAATGGTCATGAAATTTTTGCACTGTTAATTGGTCAGACTGGCTACTTCAGATGGACTAGGTTTCCATAGTTATTCTCTTCTGGACAAAGAGGAGAGAATAGTGCCAACAAAGTTCACACTATCACTGCTCTTATCATATACACCCAGACTGCCTATAAAGAAGACCAGGTAGCCAATTGTCTTTGACTGCTATGGGAGTGCCACATCTAGGCTGAAGGATGTAATAATTGCATATATCTGTCTGATATGCATTACAGAACACCAGTAATTGCATTGTTCATACAATTAAGTGTGAGAAGATACCTCCTGCTACTTGGAGCAGCGCCTCACGCCATCTCCTTTTCTTTTTCTTATAGGCTCTTTCCTGATAGAGGAGACACGCAGACCAGACAGACCACCAACCCTGAGTGTCCAGGGGTTGGCAACTCTCCTCTTTTAAATTAGAGATCATGGCAGAAATTTTAAGAACAATGTTAGAGGATACTGCCTGAGTTATTCTTATTATTTACTCTAACATTAAGCACTCAAGAAATGTTCTGGGGAGTTTGGCTTTCTTAAATGGCTAAAGCTTTGTTGTCTGGGTGGGGAGCAGGAACAACAAATAGGAAAGGAGGAGATCGATAGGAGTAGGCAGCAAGGCAAGAGCTAAAGGCTAAGAGAGCGTGACCTTCAGGGCTCAGGGGAGGACAATAATGGTGCACCAGCTGCTCAGCCTGATGCTTCTGCTGACTCTATCTTAGGTTTTATGAAGGGGTGGGGAGGGAGCGTTGAGTCAGCAGACTTCTGTTTAGTAATTAAACTGGCTTTGAAGCATGATGACTAGAAAGCTCTCCTACCTAAATTATCCCACATATGGTAAATGGAATGTCAACTCTTGTATGCCTTTACTTGAATTCCAGTAAGTACTTAAGTTCTTAGAGACACTCAAGTCCTTCACTCAATATATTCCTCTTTTCTTCCAGTTACTGTTTGGGTTACCTAGTACTGCTCTGACAGTAATATACCACAAATGGGATTGCCCGAACAAACAAGTTTATTCTCTTACAGTTTGGAGGCTTTAAGTCCAAGTTCAAAGTGCCAGGCTTTAGGGGCTGGGTGAAAGCCCCTCAACCTTGGGGTCCAGTTCTGCCTCCTGCTCCTGGCTCACTGGAGCTAGAGACATTTCTTCACTCAGACAGCTGCTGGCTGCAGAGGCTGAGAAGCCCCAGGGTTGACAAGTAAAAAAGCATAGTCCCAATGTTACCAAACCACACGGCAGGCCATTAATTCAAGTTCATTTTAAGTCCAAGGTTGGCAGAGCATGGCAGGCTGCTGAACAATGACATGGCTACATGCAGGGCCCAAGCATGCCATATGCTAGAAACCATTCCCAAAGCTTCTCCATATACACAAGAAGCAGACCACATCTCAAAGGCAGCTACTCAGTTCCTTGTGGTAGATTCCACCATGGAGTTGATTTCCAGTCTCATCATGGGGAATAACTACCACCAGCTGCCCAGCCAGTCATCCAGGCCCAGGCAAGTTGACACACACAGCCTGCATTCAGAGTGTAGGACTTCAATACATTTTCACCTAAGAGGTGCACTCCAGAATTTCCTAGGCCAAAAGTAAGGGATTAATTAGACCGGTCACTGTCAACTATTTTGTACAGTGTAAGCTCTGAAGGACTCAATAAACGTACTCCAATAAAATCTCTATAATAAGGATAAGGGAACATTTTGCTATCTTTTAATAATAAAGGACTTTGAATATAGTTAGATATAAAGCTTTTTTTAAAATCATATTCAATGAAGACATCAACTAGTAATTTCAAAAAGTTTAAACTCATGTCCACTGCACTTAGTCCTTGCTCTTTTATAAACACCATTATGTTATGCCTCTTAAGATCACTAAAGAATATATTGAGTGCCAGTTGAAAAATATTTCCAATAGCAAAAGGATTTTTTGAATAGTTGATATATAATGCCTTGATTTTAAAAAATTTTATTATGTCTAATTGAGACAAGGTCATCATAGATGCTTATTCAGGGGCTGTATTTTTGGCACTGAATCCAATGACCTAACTTGTTTTTATGTTTGACAGTGACAAAAGAAAAATAAAACAGAATATAAAGAATCACACCTTATTTATCCAAAGTCTACATTATGCCAGTTAAAGTGTTTCTTTGGTCTAGAGACTGTAATACTGATAAGCTATTATTTTTCTATTGTCATTTATCATTCATATCATTTTTAATACCTTAAAAACAATCTAAAATAAACTTCAACCAACTGGTCCATATGATTTGTTCACAGTTTTAATTTTTCACATAAAATATGAAATAGCCTTCTGTCCTTTACCTCCTAATGTCCCAAGTAACTGAGCATTTAAAATAATTTAATTAACTTAAAAATAGCATAAAAACTGCAATGTCAACTATGGCATAGTAATGTGTACAAAAATTTTTTGCTAACTTCTCAGGCCTAGCTCAGGAATTCAAATAACAAATTTCATGGCAGAACAAGTTTTTTCAGTGTGCAGGACTTTGGCCATCTGCTTGTTACATTTAAGTAATTTTCAGGAAATGAAACATTTGCTCAAGTACAGGAAAGAATAGTGTCCATTCACACATAACAGATTGATGACATATTCATAGGGTGAATATAAGTTATTTATTTCAAAGTCTAAAGGAAATGTCAATTGGAGATCAAGACAAAATTTTTCCTGAACCAAGATGCCTCTGGAGAATTCTTATGTCATCAATGGAATATAGTCACTAAAAGCAAAAAGATCTTTATTATGAAGAAATAATAATAGAGATTTAACCAACTTTAATTTTTAGTTTATGTATATGTTCTGTTCTATGTGTATGTTTTGAGTCAAATTAAACAATATTTCATTTGTACTTACATTCTTTAATTCTAATAGCACTACTTTTTAAAATCTGGAGTTGAGAACTTATTCCATATATTTAGCTGTAATAAGTTAAGGTTTTCATATTTTTCCCTTCTTTCTTCTACCTTTAGGATCATTATACCCAAACATATGAGAGGAGGGAAAGAGAAGAATTAAGTTCAGTATATCTTTTTTTCACTTAGTTATTAGGAGCAGCACTGCTTCAACTGTGTACTTCTGACAGTTTTTCTGTAACGTGGTTAAGTGCTTTAACTCACACTGATACAGGAAAAAATGAAATAAAAAGGATGGTCCCAGTTTCTAAATTCTAAGTGGCATGCAGGGCAGAAGGAAGGATATATCCTATTGGACAGCTGTGTGGGCAGGGGTGCTTGAGGACTGGCACTATAGCAATGGCTTCCTTTATTCCCATTCTTACCAGATTTTAAGGTTGGGGGAAAAAAACAAAACACTATTCCACAATTTTCTAATCACAGTCTCTTACAATTTACATTTCATTTAATGGTTCTAGAACTCATGATAAT